TAGCCCCCCCCCCCCTGTGGGTCAGCGGTAAGTTTACAAAATTACCATGCTAAAATCTGGGTTTCAGTTCTCTGCAGTGGACACAACAGATAGCCCAATATGGTTATTCACTAAAAACAAATGATCTTGTCAGTTACAAAATACATACCTTGCAATGATTTATTTATTGTGAAATAATGGTAACTTTTATGAGTAACATTATCATAGAAACGTTTGTTGTGGCTGACATAAAGCATTAATTTACCAAAATTGTTAACAATCATGAAATTGTAAATGAAAGACTCTTTATTTTTGCTCTACAGGAAATCAATTTGACCTGAAAATACCACTGTAGTGTGTAAGAACTTCATATGTTATTCTCCTGTAGTATATATTTCATAACTAAAAAATTTTAAGTTCTGATTTGAAATGTACATCCTAAATCATGTGCTGAATTCAGCCTGAGGGGTAACTTTTTGCAATCTGTTTGACCAAGGAACTTATCTACTACTATTTCATGGGATAGTTGTGTATAAAAGTGTACCTTGCGACACAGTATTTGAAACAGAGATTGCTCAGCTATAGTACAAATAAACATAATACTTTACTTAGAGCAAAAATGAAATGAGTGATTGAAATACTGATCATCTGTAGTAGTAGTAGAACATTGATTTGGAAAGTAAGGAGAATTAAAGGAAAGTGAAATAAATTAAGTCTAGATTTAACTTGATTGTAAAATATGGTTGATCGGCAGATAGGAAAGAGTATAGTAAAACAAGGACTGGACTTTTTCAGTGAGTCTTGGCACTCAAACATGAAACAAACTGTCATCCTCCAAAGATGGAATGAGTTTAATATGAAAGTGCCAAACACCAAATTCACCAAACACATTCTTTCTATATAGCTGGCCATTTAAAAACCAGGCACTGTAATGAGGAAATATCTCTGATCCATCTGACATCCCTCCAAACACAAGGTCAGGTAGAGCACAGTGTAACTATTTCACAAAATAATCGGTGAGTTCCTTCACCCATCAGGTAACATCTCAAGTCAAATTTAGTACATTATCTCAACCAGATTTAGGATATCCCATATCAAAAAGATAATAATTTTGTAAATGTAAAATATACACTAGAGAAGAGTTAGATATGTTGTATTTGAATATTACACTGTTTTGTATATTACATAAAAGTTAAATTTTTTGTCTTTTCTATAAAGAGAACTAGAAACAATTTATACATGTAATGACCTTAAGAGTAGATGTTTCCTTTTATTCAACAAATGTTTTACTTTTTTATATAATTTATAATCTTGTATAATTGAAATAATCATTATGTGTGATTGTTTATATTCTGTTAAACTGAACCTTCCTTTTGATTTATATAGAAAGGATACTATTGATTATGGTAATCTGAGGGGTTCTATACAACTGGCATGCACTTCTCTATCTTTGAAAGCTGTCGATGGTAAGCTTCATTCTTGATAGTACTGATTGTTTTCTACAGAATATGTTGAAAATTGTGTTACTTAAACTTATATTACTAAAGTTATAATTAGTGATAGCTGATAAAAGCTGAAAGCGTAAAAGTACTTCTAGTACAAAAAATACTAAGTAACTTTAATGTTTGTTATTTATAAAGAGTTCAAACTTCTTTCATTGTGAATGTGTGATATTTGCTCTGAATTTACTATTGTTAATATTAACCCAATATCTTGCAGGGAACAAAAAGTGAAAAAGAAAGCATTAAAACTGTATACCCTATTGTGTTTTAAAAAGAAAGGATGCCAGTTTAGATAAAAAGAAAAGATTATAATAAAAATACTAAAAAACATTGTGGTTAGAATCATAAATTTAATATTGTGACAGAGCTATGGTTATAAAATACAAAACCTTTTTTTTTTCATATTTTATAACCCTTTTGTAAGCAGATACATTTATACAGTTACTGTCTTCTTGTCTGACACACAAGCAGCATGCATGAAGTCTTCTGGCCCGGCATGGCCAGGTGGTTAGGGCACTGAACTCGCAATCTGAGGGTCACGGGTTCGAATCCCCGTCCCACCAAACATGCTCGCCTTTTCAACTGTGGGGTAATTATAATGTGACGGTCAATCCCACTATTCGTTGATAAAAAAGTAGCTCAAGAGTTGGCGGTGGGTGGTGATGACTAGCTGCCTTCCCTCTAGTCTTACACTGCTAAATTAGGATGGCTAGTGCAGATAGCCCTTGTGTAGCTTTGCGCAAAATTACAAACAAACAAATGAAGTCTTCAGCCAAATAAAGAATAAGGTCATGGAGTTTGAAAAATATTGAAGTGAACATAACAGAATTTTGCCAACGTCTAGCTAGTGTATTATAACCATTGTTTTACTCTTTATACAGGAAGAACCTATTAAAACTAAGTAGTATACAACATGCCATGGTAACAATATTGTACCTTTGTAAAAATAATACATCATAGAAATTTTACTTTATCGTAGCATAATGTTGGTCAACATGGTAGTTTTGAAGGTAAAAATATATTTCATACAGATGTTACTGTTAATCTGAACTTCTTAAAGTACTCAAAAACCTCAGGCACCACAAGTTGATAGTATTTTTTCATAAGTTTTTATCTAATTTTTTTCAAAAACAATTTTAGCATTTAAAAAAATTCAATCAGGATGTGAGATGGAATAAATTCTGTTTCTATAAAATATACAATATGAATATATTAGCTTATGATAAATGCTGAATGATTTTAAAATTTATGAAAACAAAAGTAATAACTTCTTAAAAAAAGAGTAATTGTCATTATTTTTTCATCATCTGCCTATAGAAACAAAATAGTATTCATTAACTGCTATCATCCAATAGATGAAAATAAATTTTTTAAGAAATGAAATTTTCACTTTTCAGTATTCAGAAGGATTTACTAGCATGACAAATTCTTGCATACATATGAATAATTTTGTAAACATGGCCCCACTTCTGCAGAAGTTTAAAGCATAAAATGTCATACAAAGAAAATTTGTTTTATCAGATATTTTTAAAAACAAGAAAATATGTAAATTATCTAATAGTCATTGTAAAATTTTGTCTTTGTTATGGAAAAAGTAATGATTTTAAATTTCACTGTTAATATATTACAAATGCATGTAACTTTTATGGACAGCATGTTCTGTTTCGCTTTGTTAAAAATCTATTGATTAAAGCTATATTTTAAAATACTTCTTCATATGTTTTAAGGAAACTTAATGTATTAAATATTTATATTTTGCCTTAGTGCTGTTATAGTGGCTTTGAATAATGTGCCATAGCTATACTGTAAACGTTGACACTATGTGGACTAGTCATTTGGAGTTTTACTTAATCCAGTTAAAAATAGATTTATTTAAAATCCAGCTTTACAGTCATGAGTGGAGTACACAAGCCACTAATTCGAGGAAGTTTACAGTTAGAAGGCAGAATTAATTCGGTGACTGAGATTCAAAATACAAACAACACTTTAATGCAATATATTAAGATACTTGGCTACATCAAAATTACCAAAGGTACCTTGAAAAGTTTCCGTGTTAAAACTATTAAATTCTTCAACCGGAGCAGGTAATTGTTCTTCAATTAAACTTTTTATAACATCCATTAAATTACTTAATACTACCGGTATGTTATCAACTAACACATTGATTGAAATCTGCTCAGACGTAACTTTTGTTAATTCATTAATATTAATCACTGTAAATCCAACTTCTAGCTACGTTATTTGACTGAGAGAAATGGTAATTGTTATTTACAAGGAGCTTGAGTGGGAAATATTGATATCTTGCAGCAAAGACATTCTCACCATTGTTCTGGGATCAGGCAGCATCAGTTTTATTCAACCAGTAGCAGGTCATTCGGCTTCTTGATATTAGGTCATCAAGAAATTAATGTCGCTTAGATGAAAAAAACCCAAACAACTTATATATCAAAACATAACATTTATTAAATGAAATAGTCTTCATTCTTATC